ACATTCGTCGTTTTCGGGCGCCGTGCTGTATCACCCCTCTTTCTGTGTACTCGCATACGCGTGCATTTTATTGGCCTTATTCTCATGCTACTTTACCGTCCTATTTAGCTAATTATTTTTGTATTGATAACTCGGTTTATTTGCCGTCAATAAAATCTGCATGTTTATCATAAATAACTTGGATTTTTGCACTGTCTGATACGTTGCACCGCAGTCAGGAGTGTAACTTCCAGGTAAATGAATTAAGTATTCTGTAATTTAGGACAGCTTACTCCACATCCTATTCCAGTTCGTAGTAGTATATCTTCGTATTCCAAAACCCATTCTTTCGGGTCGCGGAGGCAGACGTCTCAGACAGTACTTTTAACGTCCCCGATCCTGTGCCATAGTCTGAGCTTTCGCAAAAGACTGCTGCAGTTTCTCTCAGACTTCTTCCATATATTAGCACCAGTGCGTCTTCCGCCGATCATCTGAGCAGGTAGATGTTGCTTCGCCTTTCTTTCCAGAGGTATTCACAGCACGGGCCCGAACTATTGCAGCCGTGACTTTTCAGTCGGCTGTGCACCAGGGTTCTCGCGGATGTCTTTATTCCGGACCATGTCCAGACGCATAAGGCCAGGGCCTCGTCTCTGAAGGCCCATTTCAGCTGCTTGTATTAGGGATCGAACTTCTTCAATCACCGCCTACCACTCATGACCATAGGTAAGCATGGCGATGAAGATCGACTTAAACAGCTTAATATTCAAACTCAGCTCTGCTTTAGGAACGGCCGTCCGGGCTAATTCACGAAGAACGCCACCGGCTACTCCAATTCGACGGTCGAGCTATTCCTCAAATTTTCTGTCATTAGTAAATACAACTTCGAGGTACTTGAACTTCTCCTCCTGCTCCACAGTTTCTCCGTTATTTGATGAGAGCAACGGGCATGAATGCGAGAAAGCGCTATGCTTTACGTCTTAGATGCGTTGGCACGCTATGCCGGCCACGTCGCACTCGGCTGCAAACCTTTCCAGGGAACACTGCAGATCGGTTTCAGAAGATGCCAATAAAATAAGGTCGTCTGCAAATAGCAGTCTTTTCGTCTTCACATCTCCTACACCGATACACTCATCGCTTTGGCAGCTCCTGACTATTCTATCCATGTACAACACTAACAGGATAGGGTACAGGACGCAGCCGTGGCGGAGACTAATGCCAGCGCTGAAAGGTTTCGACTTGACGCCATTTACTCTGACGCAGCACCTGCTATCAGAATACAGTGATTGAATACTCATCGTTCCCATCTGTTCGTAGGCATGCCCACAAACCTTTGCGAGGGATGTGTTCATAGGCTTTTTCAGGTCAACAAGGCACCTACACCGGATGGCTGAACTGTCCCGATTTCTCAACAGTCTGTCGAGGTCAAATATATTGTCAGAGGTGCTTCGACCGGGCCGGAAGCCAAACGGTTCTTCTTGTATCTCAATGTAGGCTTAATAATGTAATGCCCCGATAATTGGAACATTTTCCTTGGTCTCCCTTGAACAGGTATAGAGAAACCCCTGTACTCTAGACCGCTGGTGTGTTCCCTATAGCCATTTTGACAGACACGTATGCCAGCACATACCTTGTATTTCCGTTGCATTGAGCATTTCAGGGCGGATATCATTAATTCCATTATCCTTTCCCCTTTTGAAGCGTTTCACATCTTGTGTGATTTCGTCTGCAGAAATAGTAATATCCATTCCCCGATGTTTTACACTCGAGTCTTCCTGCGGTTTCTCACGTTTGAGGAATTCTTCATGGTACTCTTTCTATCGCCGATATGTCCTTATCCTCTGTAAGAGGGTATCCAGACATCTTCTTCAAGTCTCTTATACCATTATCTCTGTAGAATTCGAATGAGCTGTGAGATCATCAATTAGCAGTAATATAGAACACGTCCTCTAAATGTCTTTAATCTGGATAAACTAGTGATGTGAATTGAAAGTTCAGAGTTTTTAATTTGTTGTTAAGTTGAATTGTTGGCTGTACTCTGTTAGAACTCGATGGCTCGCAGTGAAGATTGTAAATAATTGGCGTCTACTAAGGCGATTTTTAACATATTAGATATTAAATTCCTTCCCCATCCATTTTTACTGTTTGCAGAACAAACCAGCTTTACATGGCTCAAACTGTTTGGCTGTTAAGGACCTAGGATCTGATTTATTCATTGGATCTTGGCTGTTTATTGTTACTCAGTGAGGATATGCTGTTTCATAATACAGGCTAAGATATATGATTGTAGTTGATCGCTTTTGTCAGTCTGATAATTTTAAGCAAGTTGACTTATTAACTGCTAGTCATTATTACCCTATTTTCTATCATCGAGCCCTATGGTTTGTACGCTGTTCCTATTTTGTAATATATTTTGTTGCACCTGAACAGAACGACTTTGTAACGTGTTTCATTCGGCGTTTAAAGATTTTATTTGTCAGTGCAGTATGTGGGCAATAACAGAAAATATGCACACCTTATACAGTAGATTCGAGGCACAGATGCTTGTACGTTTCTGGCGTACAAGTGTACAACCGATCTGCAATTTTCAGCGGGTTCAGCAAAATTAACAGAAATGAGGCATAAATACGGTTATTGTTGAAAAGTGTTTTGTAACGTTAGCCACTGTTGGTCGAGAAGGTAATAAACAGCTAATAATGAATTAAAGGGAGTATGGATATGATTGGTTAGACAGCACTCGAAGGTTTATTTCAGACCTTCTTTTCCTGGAAAGCAGAGCCGGCGAAGCAGCAATGACAACTCTGTTCATTTTTGATTTCACCAACGGGCTTAGCAGTCTCGGCGTGAAGACTATTGCTGAGGTCTGAATGGGTGACCTTATAATTGGGCTCAGAAACAAGGGATTTCCAATCACCGGTGTAACCACGATCGGTGATAAAATAATTGGACATAAAACAAACGGCGACAAGATTAAGGGAGATACAAGTAACGGAGACAGGACAATTGGAAATAGAACTATAGGGCTGAGAATCGCGGGTGACAATACAAATGGGGTCAAGTAAGCCCCTCCAATCACACGCGGTGACAGAATGAGTGGATTCAATACTAAGGGCGATAAAACGATCGGACCGAGGACAGATGGCGAGAAAACTAATGGCGACAGAAGTGCTGGGCTGAGAACTAATGGTTGCGATGCAAGGCCGGGGTTGAAGACCAGTGGCGTTAGAAGGAGAGGAGCGAGCGTAATTTGTCTTTTGCGCCGTGATTGGGGACGACATGCGCCTGAGGCCATGCAACGGATGAACTGGACAATTTGCAGTTGCTTCTCTTGTTCGTTTGCGTTCAAGAACAATTGGACATCAAAAGGGGGGTCAGTAATGTTGAACGGATTTCCGGCGCCATATACTAGACGTAGCTGTCGTTTGTTGAGGAACACGTAGCCGTTCATATTCAGTTTACGTTTCTGTTCGTCTGTATATGTACGATCTAACTTAGCGAAAAATCGCTTAATTGTCCTCTTCGACTTCTTGTCGACCAGCATGTCGGCAACGCTGCTTAGATGCGGTTTCAAGCGTCGCAGTTCGGATACTGGATCATTGCCAGTAGCTTTAATCACCGAATCGAACACACCACTTAACTCCAACACCATGCGCAGCCATGCACTCTGGTCGCTCTTTCCGAAATTGCGCAGCAGCTGGGGTAGTGGCAAGATGTTGTTCGGGTTTCCGTCATCGTAGAGGCTGAGGATGTCTGGTGACAACACGTGCTTTACGGTTTTGCCCTCTGGAACTAGTGACAGGAGTCTCGGCGACAGTAATTTCACCGGCGAGTTCACGTTTCTGTCCATCGTTTCCACTGCTGACG